GCTATATTGGTGGTACCAAATTGAACACAGAAAAGACAAACAATTTCAGTTTGTTTCATAGTCCCAAATAGAACAGAGAGGACCAGCAAATTGAATGTGGTCAGGTCCTGAGGCAGGCGGTTCAGAAATACATAGTCCCAAAGTCCCAAGAAGAAGAGATATGACATACATAAGAGTCCCAAAGTCCCAAGGAAAAGAGAGAGTGCATACGTAAGAGTCCCAAAGTCCCAAGGAGAGGAGATAAGCCATACATAAAGAGTCCCAAAGTCCCAAGGAAAAGAGAGAGTACGACAGAAGAGTCCCAAAGTCCCAAGGAGAAGAGAGAGGGCATACATACATAGAGTCCCAAAGAGAAGAATGAGGGCATACAAATAGTCCCAAATTGAACACAGGATAAACTACTGGCTGCTCATGACACATACAAGAACCAAAAGAGAAAAGGAGAAAGGGCACGTACTGTGACATACATAGTCTCAAAGTCCCAAGGAGAAGAGAGGGGGCGGCATACATAGAGTCCCAAGGAGAAGAGAGGGGGGTGCATACATAGAGTCCCAAGGAGAAGAGAAAGGGCATCCATACATAAGAGTCCCAAAGACAAGAATGACGGCTACACATAGTCCCAAATTGAACAGAGAGGGCAAACTACTGGCTGCTCCTGATGATACATATGTTATGAACCTGGTTGTTTGTTGTTAGAAGACCAACACTCGCTCACATAGACTTCCAGGTATGCCCATATATACACAGAAAGGAAGGGGAGAGGATGGGAGTATCACACCGCACAGGGAGAGATAAACACAGCAGAAGACTTCACCATGCGATATGACAGAGAACACTGAAAGTGCAATTCGCTCCACGGAATCCTCACAACCAGTCACAAAGGAAAGCCGAGTAGATCACATCCAGGAAACAATGAAGCAAAGATAGTCCACACACAGTATAAACACTGTTTATTAAACTCAGAGTCTTGAAATGTCAGAACAATCCCAGAACCATGGTGTGCTGCTCAGAAATGAGCAGCGCTTCACTCCCCAACCCTGAAAACAACAACCCTGAACACAACAACCCTGAACTACCTACTCGTTCTAACCACTTTTTCTCTCCAGTCAGGTGACAGCAATTGGGCGAGTACTGCAGAGAAAACCCAATTCCTGTTAACATCGTTTTCTGTCTTCTAACAACAAACAACCAGGTTCATAACACATAAAACCACAAGTGAAAAAGAGAAAGGGCAAACTACAGGAGAAAAGCAGTCCAGTCTGCACTCCCGAAAAAAAAAAAAAAAAAAAAAAAAAAAAAAAAAAAGGAGGAAAGCAGTCCAGCCTGGCTGCAAAAGGAACAGCCTTCAAACAACCGGCCTAGCTCAGTTGGTACACCAGCTCTTCCACAGCCTCAGACCCCACCTCATGACAGCACAACCGGCACCCTTGGCCTCAAGAGTCGAGCATCGTAACCGCTGCGCCCATGACACGGACAAGTTGTTCAAAAGTGCGCGATATCCACTCCACACCTGCATGACCGCAGTGTCCATACTCAATCACACACACACACGCACACACACACAACACTCACAACACACACACAGCAGTCTCTCACACACTTGCTCTTGATCCAGCACATGACCCTCAACTACCAAGGGGCCCATTCCCTAAATGGCCACCCATTCCCGGTACTATTTCCAGTCAGATTAACATGTTGAAGTACAGTTCAGCACTTCCACAGCCTCAGATCCCTCCGCATGACGGCACACGGATTCGAACCGACATTCTTGGATCCCTCCGCATGACGGCACACGGATTCGAACCGGCACTCTTGGCCTCAAGAGCCAAGCATCGTAACCACTGCAGGCATGACAAGGTGTTCAAAAGTCGAACCATACCGGACATGATATCCCACGAGCCGTACAGACCCAAGTTCGAGTCCAGATGCAATCAGATGTCATTGAACAGAATAATACACCTCTGAATTACCTGGGTCCGGTCGGTTCGATGATGATATCTCAAGGCCGTTTCAGAAAAAAAGAAAAGGAAAAAACAAAAAAAGGAACTGTTACACCCTTCATCGACTCTTCACACTTCTCAAAAGCCCTTTTTTTATCTAACTTTTTTTTACCTTTCTTTTTGAAGTTCATTTTCCCATTCCTGAACCACCAGTGCCTTTCCAAGGCAAACTTCAGCAACAACTTTGTCTACCGCCGCATTCTTCGCAGGCTTGGCCTCCCTCGGAGGCCCCAACCTTTTCGGCTGGCAGCGAGAAGAGAAAAAAACAAGCGCCGTGCCAGCTCGCTTTGGAATTGGCGCACAGCAGAAATCTGGCACGGGAAAAAGAGGCTCGGACGTATTGGTGGTTTAATGGGGCATTTGCTTGATTTCCAAAATCCGAGCTTTTAATCGGGCAAGTTCAGCAGGCCATTCTTTACTGTAAACCAGGGGCTTCACAGGCTCCATGTCCTCTCGCCCCACAACCCCCTCGTCGTCCGCAGCATTCCTCGGGCCTGTACCACTCCTTAGCTTCTCTCTTTTGCCAGTTTCCGCCCTCGCTTTCTCCATAGCGGCCCTCCTCATTGCCGCAAGCACCATCTCTCCCGTAAGAATGGTGGGGCCTTCCTGTTCTATGGAGGGCTCATCCTTCCGCTGCCGTGCCGGTTGCACCATACCGGAAGCAGCCAATAATACTTCTTTCCCTAGCATCATCCCACCTAAGGCTTGTTCTCCTTCTTCCTCCTCCTCTTCTCCTTCTTCCATCTCATGCTTTCCCTTCTTCCCTTTCCGTCGCCCTTTTTTTTTGCTGTCGCTTCCCATTGACGCGTCATTCGCCTCGCCTACCCTCTTACGATCTGTACCTACCCCCTCCAATGACAGGGCCTCCTCGTGAGGAGGCAGGACCCCCCTGGCGCCACTCTGATTCACTTTTCTCTTCTCCGTTCCCTTTAACCCCTTCTCATTTTCTTCTTCCTTTGGTTCCGAAATTTTTGCCCTCACCGATTTGTCATCTATTCGAAGAGCATTGAGTGCCTCTAAGACCTCAGTAACAGAATTGCCCCTACCTTCGTCGACGTCGACGAAACCGTACCCTTTGCACCGCCCGGTCCTCTTGTCTACCACCAACTTCCACTTTTCGATCCCCTTCACCTCTGCAGCTGTGATAGCCGACTCAAAGCCTGCCCTTGTCAAGTCCGTGGGAAGATTCGACACGAACAGACGTACAGTGCGAACACCTTCTTGACTATCACCCGTGTCAGCCTTTCTCGCTCCCGGCATGTGTTTGCTATGATCACTATTCCTCCTATCGATTTCAGCATTTGCCTGTTTTCTCGGTGGGCTCCTTCTTCCGTGCCTATCTTCAACACGGGACGATTCCGGCAGCCTCTCTCCTTCACCTTCTCCTCCTATTCCCTCCATCTCCCTTGTATCTGTGACCCGTCGCACCACTGCCGTCGCTTCTGCGTGCTTCTTTCCACCGGTCGCTTTACCTATCCCCACTCCTTGAACTTCCCGAGGCAGCGCCTTGACTTCCGGATGCTCGTTGCCAATGATAGCCCTCACACGTCCTATCTCACCTGTCCGGAGCTGCACTTTTATTCCTCGAGGGTGATGAGAGTCTCTCGTCAAAACCTTCTCAACAATACCACGAGTGACTCTACCCGACCGCTGGTCCGCTTTAAGGGTAATGTCTACACAACAACCAACCCATAGATTCCTCCCAATACATCCATCGTGCTCTCTCTTGCTGCTCCTGCTTCTGCTGCTGTTCTTGTTGCTGCTCGTGTTGCTGCTCGTGTTGCTGCTATTGTTGCTGCTCGTGTTGCTGCTATTGTTGCTGCTATTGTTGCTGCTATTGTTGTTGCTATTGTTGCTGATGTTGTTGCTGATATTGTTGCTATCTCCCGGCAAAACATTTGGTTCTCCATTTTTGTTGTCGTCGAATGCAAGCACTGGTTCACAATCTACGCCAGGAGTGACGGCAAATACAACCAATGGTAAAGGCGAAAACCGTGCTTTCGTCGCAGAGGTGGTCTGAGAAACATAGGTCGAGAGCCTCAAAGTTTCCACGGCTTGACCTTTGCAGTGGTGCCATTGTTGCTGACAGCGGCTCTGCCAGCTGACGCTGGCACTTCCAAAGAGTGTTGCGGAAATAGTGGGTAGAAGAACATTGCCTTGCATAGTTCGGCGCAGCGGCAGGTAAGAGGCTGCCGCAAGCGGACTAGCGCACAGCAGCATTACCGGCTTATGACGCGGGGCTTCATGAACTTTGCAGCGACTTCTGCGTAAATGTGGCTGAAGAAACAAGCACTCTCCTCCGATAGGTGTGGCCATCCTCTGTTTCGCCACGTCCTTCTGTTCGGCAATCGATGAGATCAAGCTGCGTCTTGGCGAACGGGCTGCTACTGATGCAAGACCTACCCTCGCCAAGTGACAGGGCATCATATTCTGGCGTGTAACAGATATCGAACCGCATCGCGATTGGCAGTATAAAATAATCATATCCCGGTGTGCAGCGCTAGCAGTACCGAGAGGAGCAGGACCGTGTCGAAACGCCTGCCGCTGCATCTCAAAAGCAGGATGTCTCGACATCGAGCGCCCCACCTCTCCACAGGCAGGGCACCCCCATGTCATTGTCATCATCCTCGTTTAGGTGGGGGGGGGGGGGAATTGGCAATGACATGCGGAACAACACTCTCCCTTTCCCCCCAGCCGTCACCACTCTGGCCGTGCGTCGTCAATCATGATGCCGGGAGCGAGCGAGCGAGCGAGCGAGGCGATGAATATCAGCACTGTTGGCAAGGTTGGCGGGGCCACTTTCAAGGTATCAATGGTGGGCATACCCCATCCTCACACCGTTCATTTCATCTGTGTCTGCGTCCATCTTCCATAATTGCGATGAGACGAATATCAGCAGGACAAATGGAAGGGTTTATCTTCCCAAGCTTGTTGAGGGCGAAGCCGTATAAATTGCCGAAAGCAACAAATGCTAAAGGCAAGAACTGAGAGGCTCAAGTCAGAGCACACAGGCAAAGGACTGCAGACGAAACTTGAATGAAGAGAAGGGAATCAAAAGAAGACCGGCAGATGCAGCAAAGAACGAACATATGTAAGATGCGGGTGGGAAGTAACGGGCAGCAGCAAAGACTTTTATAGAATCTCACAAAACCAGTTGATCACTGCCGGTGCGAATATTCAGCATGGATGCGGAGCCATTAAGAAACAACCGAGGAGGAGGTACAGGGGGCAGGGAGGGGGAGCAGTTGGTGGAGGAGGGGG